TCAAGCCACCTTTAAACCACAGTTTTGAAGCCGTCTTGTTACTGAATTTGAAATCATGGTCCTCAGTAGAGCTCATTTCGAGGCACGCCGCGCCCACCGTGGGCGGGGCACCGCCAAGCTGATGTGTGTTTTATACTTCCCGAGACCTGGCCCACCCATCCCACACTTGACCCGGTCTCTCCAGGCAGATCTAAAGGAGCTAAGGAATTTCGTGACAGACATACAGACAGACAGACGGACAGACAGACTAAGCGCTTTATAGTAAGTAGGATGCTTACTAAGAAAGAGCTATTTCCAGACGTTCCGAAATCTACAGTGTCACGCTGTATGGCTCTCGTGTGGGCGGCATTCGGACTAACATTCCTGGCAGTCTATACAGCAAACTTGGCAGCGTTTATGATTACCAGAGTACAATTCTATGATCTCAGTGGGATTCATGATCCATTGGTGAGCAAGTGCGGTCATACAAGTTGTCTCCAGCCAATTCTTATGCGAGCCTTTCAGCTTTCCCATCCAGACATGCACCAGCCACCTTTTCGTTACGGTACTGTAGACGGTGGAAATACGCATGAGACAATGAAAAGGAATTGGAAAAAGATGCATGAATACGTTAAGAAGAATCATTTCTTCCGCGACAACATTTCAGCCGGTGTTGATGCTGTCAGAAATGAGTAAGTACCCTGTCGGTTATCTCTAGACAAGGAAATCGAGCATCTCATATTGACCGTTGATATATGATGCCGTCAACTTTCACAACATCTTCGAAACATGATTGTTTACGGAATGTTGTTTGTTCTGTTTACAGTTGAAAGGAGCGTTTACTCGTTGAACTAACTACTATCTGACTCATGACGGATGACGTCCCTTTTCAAGTAAAATAAAAGTGCTCCACTAACGAACTCTTTTCCAAATCTTCTCTTCCATGCATCTCTTCAGTACCAAAATCCCACCGATGTATATTTTCTTTATAGAAGGCATATTATGGGTTCCAGGGAGCTGGATGCGTTTGTTTACGACGCCGTTGTGTTGGACTACTGGGCTGGAAAAGATGCCAACTGTGAGCTGATGATGGTAATTCCGACTACATCAACGCGACGTAGAATAGTTCCCAAATAAGACGATCTCAGGTCGGCAAGTGGGCAAGTATGACGGGATACGGTATCGGATTTCCGAAGAATTCGCCCTATACAGCTATGGTTAATCAATACATGTTACAGTACCAACAGAAAGGTAATACGGCAGACTTGAGTAAATGCGTACGCGCCCTTAACTTGTATCTTTTAGGGGATCTTGAACGGCTAGCAAACTTTTGGCTAACGGGAGCGTGCTCTCCAGATAGCCACGGTCAAACCCATTCTGCTCCATTGGGGATCGAGAACTTTCTGTCGGCGTTTTTCCTACTCGCTGGAGGAATAGTACGTCACTGCAGAGACTGTTTTCCTGCAACTTTGAACCAACCTATTTGGAGGAAAGTATCGCTACGTTTACCTTTTTCAGATCTTCTCAGTAATTGTGCTCGGATGCGAGTTCTTCTTCATTCGCCATCTTAGAAAACCACTACAACGAATCGACCCTAATGGATGGTGTGGTATTATTAGCATGGTGAGTAGCCACCCAGTTCAGTAAACAAGTACTAAACTTATGCCGTTGACAACCTTTAAATCGGAAATTGAAAAATCAACATCAAACATGGAATTGTTGTGAGGTTCAAATAAAAAATAAGGAAAACGGGCACTTTTGTTCTCACAGAAGTTGCAGTAACTTACTGAAATGTTGGCCCTGAAGGGAATTAACGTGCATCAGCCCTATGAGTAGTACGTTACCTGTCAATGTATCCTCGCCGTCCCCCCCCCCTCCCCCACTCCTCCTTTCGAAAACTCGAATATATTCGTAAAATTCAGTAGCATGTTTTAGGCAATGGGCAAATCACTTACCTTGCCGGAGGCTGTCGATCGAGTGCAGGAGTGGAGACATAGAGCCTTGTCATTGAGTCCGCAGTCGCCAATTTCAAGAGAATCGCTCACTAAGTAAGACGAAACAATTTGAGCAATCGTGGACGATGTTTGACGAAGATCATTACATTTAGATCAGTGAAATCTACCGCGCCTCTACAGAAGCCGGAACCCAATCTCAAAAATAGATTCTACCAAATCGAGACGAATCTGTAGTTTGATGCCTTCATGACAGTCGTTATCAGTTACCGAAGTATCTAGTAAGACTCGGCGGAGTCATTGTATTCCCTCTGATACATATCAATAATATAAACATAGTTTCAGCACTTGGTGTTAAGGAGGATTATCATAGATTACTGCAAGCACATAAGCTATTTTCACTTTTTTTTGTAGAAATGAATGTAGCGGCTCGCATCCTAATACTACAGGGTGCTCCATGAAAAAATTGAAAAAAATCTTGAATGATTCGCTTAAAAATAGGCCGAACGTCTAATAAGTTTCCGTATAGCAGTGAGAAGCGACTTTCACTTTCTCGGGTATCCGTTTTGTTAGAAAAGCTGCATACTTCCCAAAATTTGATCTACGCCGCTCCGTCACATATGAAGGAACACCTTGTGAGATTAGTCCACCATTCCCGCTTCGTGACTCATTTCTTCTATAATCCTGCCATATTGCTATCCTTCCCCGGCAAACTTCTTCAGGTGAAAATTCGTAATGACGACATGTCCGCTAGAGTGAGGTTTGCAGCGGACCCATCCCTATCAGAAAACAAAGAATGGGCTTACAAAATGGCCTAGACGAGCGACTTCAGAGACAGATTCACCAGATGTGCTGGATGCACGCCATGGCATATGGTCAAATGGCAGCACGAAAATACGTTCCGCAATCACTCGAGTGGCAGCGGATACGCACATCGGAGCAGAAACATGACAAAGGTAAAACATGACGAAGACCATAAAAAACTGGGTTGAAGAAAACTACCTCAGGGTGTATTCTTCCTCTCAACATTGATTCCGTATTCATAGCCCATCCTGGATAAGAGAGTTTTACACTTTCTTTGATCCGGGTCAGATCAAAGTAATAAAGAAGCTATGAGAGGAAAACAGCAAAATAAGCAGTTTATCTGAAATCATCAAAGTATGCGAATAAAAATAAGAAAATTTTAAATAGAAGCAAATATTCAATAAGGAACCATAGCTTACATGATTGTTATAAATTTAATTTAAGATTCACCTGAAGATACATATGTAAACTAACCACTAGAAGATACCTAACACCACAATTACGAATTAGATGGCAATGATAAATCTCTACAAAAGCTCGGATAATCTACATTTCCACCATACTTTAATAAAATCACCGAAGAAAAAATATACCGATTTGCGCAGTACAAATCAGATCAGAGATCAGAATTTTTCACACTGCCTGTTCGAAAAATCACAATACTACACGAATATGAATATCCTAAGCTCGTAAAAAACGGGGTTCAAAGAAATTTAGAAGATTGGGTCAAAGCGTAGAAGAACATAGATTCAGAGAAAAAATATGTGACAAGCGCAGGTGAACATTGAATCGATGAAGGTATCGACGACTATAACCTTGTACTAACTGAGCTCGTGGTGATGTTGATAATGATGAGTGGACAAGTTCACCAAGCAAAAAGACCACGAAAGCCTTTAAGAACCCGTACAGCGAGTTTCGTTCGGGAGACGTCACCCACCCTGTCCGGCTCGTCTAGCGAAATCCGCTAAGGCATGAAGGGTACGGACATTTGATGAAGGCCGGATCACCGTTAAAGCTTGATCGAAATCGGAACACTAAATAACGATA